TTTTATTTTACCATTGAAACAGTTATTGATAACCTATTTTATCCATTGTGCAGCAGATATTTTAGAAATGAATTGCTGTATGGTTTAATTAGTTCATTATTATGCCTATTCTCACACGGTAATTTCTTTTATCATTCTAATCATTCACTTCACACTTTTTAAACCAAATGGAATATCAAAGGTTCTGTAGGATTATTTTTGGATCCTGCACATGTTTCACTACAGAATTAATCTGTTTGTCAGAAATACTAGTTAACTTCTTCTCTTTACTACTTTCTTTTACCAGTGATTTTTCTCTCTTATATAAGATGAAACTACTAGTATCCTGTAAAAGGACAGACTTTCGATGCTTTTGACTCAGTTTAGTGAAGATTTTTTCAACTGTACACAAGGCATTAGAAGAAAATATTTTTGTTTTTGTAAAGTTATATAATTGAATATTTCCCTTTATTTATATCTCATCTGCGATGTTTATTTAGTCTTTTTACATGTCTTTACTTAGTTAAAATGCAGAGAGATAAATATGGTTGTTACTTTGCAGGGAAGATTCAGTACATTAATATAAACTGTACACTAATTCCCCCAAAGCATATATATATATGTTGTAAACCTGAAGACTTTTTACACAGCTGCTTATTGCTAAACAGTGCCTTGTCCAGAAGGGGACAATCTGTGTCTCTAATTGCTGTCACTGAAGCTGAGATTCATTATGTGACTTTCCCATTAAAATGTGAGCATTAATTTGTATAATGAAATATCACCCACTGCAGTGTTCATTAGCCATGCCCTACTGTATACTGCACATTGTTAGCTACCTAGAAACTGTAGTTAATTTCACTAATGGATATTTCCCTACTTAGTGTTTGGTAGGAAATTTATACTGTAACATTACCTCTTAAACTTTTAAGGAAATTTAAATTCAATCAATTATTTTCAACAAAAGTTTGGGATGTCATTAAGGCAGGAGAAAAGGCATGCTGTACAATGTTAAGGATGGGAAATCTGGAGAAATCTGGAGAAATGAAAAGTCCTTTTAGTTCATCTTAGAAATGTAAGAATAAAGGATGTTCAATACCAAAATTGTCTCCTCTTGGAGCACACATACCCATTTTCCTTAATTATTCATATTGCTCATCCCACTACAAGCGCCTTCAGAGAATGGCAACAGGCAGTCTTTTTTTAGGAAGAAAATGTGAATTGAATTCATTTAAAACAGCACCATTTTTACTGTATTCCATCAGTTCATCTAAGCAAGTTTTAGAATTGGCTGGCCACGTTTCCAAGGGAGAATGCAGTAACACTGTAAATGTATATAATGCATTTATTATATGCAAGATGTGTGTCATACATACTGTAACATATTTTCAGACCATGGACACAGCCCTGACAAGTTTTTATTTCCTATCCCTGTCTATCTTAGGTTTCTTCTGTTTAGTACTTTCTCCAGGGCTCTACTTTGCTCATGCACATTATTCTTTTTCCATTACTCAAGAGATTTAATTGTGCCAGTCATACTGGGAAGAATACCTGAGGCCCTAATAACCACACAAACCCAAACTGGTCTACATCTACAGTAGCTTCTGAATGCTAACAGAAGGTGCAAAGAGGTGCTAGAGCTAATGTGAAACTGCCCCCTACATAATGTGTCACTTGACAAAGGCAGAAGATCAGAAATGTTAATTTTTTACACTTAACTTCCTGTGCAGTCCAAAAACCTCATGCATTTATTTTATTTCAGTGGAATTGGGAATGCTCAAGAACATAAAAAACATGCTCAGCTCCCTGAATGATAGAATCTTAATCTATTGCCCCCACAGGGGAAAAACAGAAATTCTGGAAGCATCTGCATATGACACATTATGGGTCTGAGATACTTTGATGGTTTTCTTTTTCACAAAGTCTGACACCTCTTAAGCCTTCTGTGTTACAGCCTTCTCAGCCGTGTTATATATTAATTTATAACCAGGAAGCTGAATCACAAAGTAGCTGGTTCACCCACACATCTACTATGCACTACTGGTACACGTGCATGTTTTGCTCTTGTTCCTGCATCTCTTCACATCGTGAGCTTATGTGAGGTAGCTCTGAAGAAGCAGGACCATACAGCCCATCCCTATTCACTGGTGAACATGCAGAAGTAATCTAGGACTACGAGAGTTCTGCCTCTCCTCTCTAAACCCTGAGGCTCTGAAGTGTTTTGCCCGGAGTCCTTCCTCTCTTCTCTCAGGAGTGTACTAAGGAACTGCCTTGTCCTTCAACTGTTTTTAGAGCAAGACAGAGGAGAAACTGATTTCACATAATTATGCCCTTTTCTTCTTATCATATAGGAACAATCAGAAATCATATCTGACTATCTTCCCCTTAAAGCTCTTCCTGGCTGAATATCATTGAATTACATAAGAAGAAAAATCCTGTAAAATTGTGTGCTGGGACTCACCTGTGTGCTAAATAAAATCTTTTTTTTTCTTTTTTTCTTTTTTTTTTTTCATTCAGAAGGTTATTATATGACAATAAACTACATAGAAACTTGGACTCAGTGTGGAGAAGGTTGCAACCACAAAATATGCAAGAAAAAAAAAAAAAAGAAGCAACCCAAGCCACTAGCTAATTCTTCTGAAACAGAGCACAGCATTCTCCTCTTGTGGAGGATTAAAGAGCTTCTCTAGCTTTTTTGGGTCAATTGTCAGAGAAGCACCTCCTGCCTGCATCAGACTTTGGGTCTTGCCTTGGCATGTGTACCAAACTAACCTATTCTTGTGCTCCAAACACACAGATGTTTGCAGGAACCTGACTTCTGCTGAACTGCTTGAGCTCATCTCTAACAAACAGGTGCTGTGAGAACAAGAACAGTAATTGAGTTAATGTAGTGGAGAAACACAGTAAAGTGTTTTTTATCAGTCAGTTATATGATCCAGACATATAATAAAGACAGAGTGTGACATAAAAGGCAGGAAACTGTCCCTGATAAGTATGAGCTAACCACTATTTGTTTAATAACTGGTATCTATTACATCATTTCAATTTACTGCAAAGCAACTTAATTTTTATTTAATAACTCTAGTAATTTGCCAATTTACATTTTTATAATATTTATTAGGATTATTTCCAAGATGTAAAACATTGTTCCAATTACACATATTCTTGTCATTATTTTCAAATACTTTGTTCTCAACCTAATGGAAACTGATCTTTATCTATTTAAAAACTATAATGATTTTATAATATATTGCAAATGTTGTTTCAACAGTCTGTATGATGTTTCTGGTTTTTTTTTTTGTTATTTTATACATGGTTTATTTTTTCTTGTTTTAATTTTGTTTAGTCAGTTTTAATATGCAAGCCTTATGGAATATTGCAATTGAAATTAATTTACTTTCCATTAGTTCTAAGCCCCAAATATTAAATGCATAATCACTTCCATCTTTAAAACAAGAACCAAATGACCACTATATCATAAAGGAAGAGATGGGTATCCTTAGGTTATTTGAAAGAATTTTCATTTGCATCTCCAACAGGAAAAATGTCGAACTGTTTGAACCTCATAGTTTCAAGATTATTTTCCAATAACATAACTACCATTTATTCATTTATTTACTTGTCCTACATTAGAGAGCACACAAATGGGGTTTACCATGTGTTTCCTGGTGGCTTGGAATCCAATCAGACAAAACTACATTAGGATGCCAAATTTTAAAATTCAGATCAAACCAGTGTGGTATATGCCTAGTCCACAATCCAAAGATAGGAGAATAAAAATACAATAAATAAACTTTCCTGTCTCAGCAATAATTTTTTTTCTTTAAATAATTTTCAGCCTTAATTTTGAAATATCAGATCTCACCTTTGCAAACTCAATGTTAAATTTTACATCTGTACAAGCACATAGAGAAACATGACTTTTGATTTTGGAAAGGGAGAAAAATACTGCTTATCTGATACTTCAGTGAAGTGAAAATTAAAACTGAAGTTATTCAAATAAGAGTTACAACTAGAAAGTATTAATGCAATTTATTTTACCTATCAATTAGAAAAGTAGCAGTAAATTTCTGAAATTCATTCAAAATGGCTTAAAAAGAAAGTGACTCCACAATTACAGTGCCCACTATGCCTGCTTCCAAGGACAACTATCCTAAACCTCCCAAAGCCTGTGATACCTAAACAAACATATTTGTCATATACAGAATTTCTACTGACATCAATAGAACTCAAGGATATCAACACTGCATGTCAGATTTTAATTGTGGATAGAGTAAGTCTTAAACATATCCTGTGTCTCTAGATGAACCTTAGCATGCACATACGCACTTGTAAGCAAATGAGTTAGTATAATTTAAACTGAGTGGTTATAGTTTACCACTATTGAGAACAGTTCAGCCAGTAACAGACATACCAAAATAAATTGAGAATCCAGACCAGTAGTAAGTCTCTGTAGGGCAGAAATGCTGTGATTGTTATTAAAATAAAATATGGCAAGTTTCACCACAGTGCAAAACATGCTAAGTTTTACTACTTGCACTACTAAGTTGGGTTAGTTCTAGTGAAAAAAAAGCAGATCCATGAAGCTGATGTATTCATATGAACAGTGAGAGGTTAAAAATGAGCATGCTAAATGGAACAAAAATAGTAACTCTGAGAAAAACATACAGAATCCCTAAGCAGATGCTAAGGAAGGCCTTTGAAGCAGTTAGTATAACTAAGTCTGAAACCAATAGGCTTATGCTTATTGAAGGACAAGGGTAATTGAAGGAAACAGTGATGAAGCAGGGAAGGAGACAGAAATAACCTCAACTGGGAAAAGATGATTCTATTAAAGTGGTCTTTGTCCAACAACACATTCCTTGTGCTTTTATTTAAGACTGTCATATATATCTTCCTCAATAGACTTTCTCCAACTAATGAGTCAAAATCTACACTGGGAATTCAGGCTTCTAGCCACATATTATGTTAACCCCCGCCACACAGCACGTGTCGACAGTGCTCCACTCACTTGTTCCTCTCACCTGTATGTATTCTCAAGTGGACCTTTAAGTGATGGGATGTTCTGAAAGTTTTTCCACAATATGGGCAGTCTTTCATGGCAGAACCAAGGCTCCTGTCTCTCAGTAAAGCTGGCTGCTGGACTCCTACAGATCTCCCAGCTTCTTCTCCAATGTCTGCAACACAGAAATGTTCTCACATCACTTCAGCACATGTCAGAAGTTGTTCTCACTAAAACTGCTAACACAACACAAAGTTAAACATGTCAATACTACACCTGTCTATTTCATTCTTTAAATCTGACAGAATGCTGACAATTCATGTATTTTCTTGTTATTGTCTTAAATTATTTCATCTTTCCTATCATCATTTTAAGTAGCATATGGTACCTTTATATTGAACTGAATTATACAAGAAAAGAAACAGCTGTGTCAGCAGCTGGTTTGATTTCTTCTTTCGCTTAGTTCCTATTAATTCTTCCCCAAAAAGTTTTAGATTGTTGTTTTGTTGAATCTGTTAAATTTTTAAGTATTGTGAAAATCTGTTTGCTTTTAGAGGGAAAAAAGTTTGCAGCAGTATATTAAAACCTCACAAACCAACAGAATTGCAGTGATGGGGGAGTGTCCAACTGCAGTGGCAATGTCTACATACAAAGCTAATCAACTTTCTTCTGCAACATTTCATCGTTGGAGTTACATCACACAACCTAGTGAGTGACCTAATATCATGGGAAAGGCAAGGAAAAAAATTGGTCAGATGAGGGGGAATTTGTTCTCCCTCTCACCTGCACCTTCCCAAGTGTTCTCCTTCAGCATTCCCAGCTATGCTTAGTCTTTGTATCATAATACAATGGCTGAGGTTCCAGGACATCTCTTCTTTCTCCTGATATAAAGAAACAGTTATTCTCAGCCATCTTGGATAAAATGCCATTATCCAAGCAGGCTATGAACAAAACAACTGACAAGACTGACAGAAAAACTGCAAAAATGTAGTGGATTTTAAAGAACTCATTATTCAAACCACAGAACACTCATCTATCATCTTGTACTTACAGGGTCATGTAGTACCACATATACTTATCAATTCATTATTTCACCAAAATGTACCATAGCAAATACTGAAATTCTGAACTGGATTTACACCACTGGCACACCACAGAGATGCAATACACATGGACACATCACCACAGCCCTATGCAAAAGCCAAACTATCTGGCTTATACTGAGGTGGGGACCATGTATTTAAAATCTGCATGCAGAGTCTTGGTTATTTCAACCATAAAATACTGACTAAAAATGTTCAGTCTTCACCCACTTGACATGTAGCTGAAGCTGTCAGGAAACACAGTGCAGTTTGCAGAGCATTGCCTTTTAAATGGAAGTGATGAGACATAAGAAAGACTTAAATATTTGGCTCTAATAAAAACCATTCACACAGTAGCAGAGACTAAAATGCCACGTTTCTGGAAAAGGTAACACTAACAGGCATTCCAGTACTTATCATAAAATCATCCCTCTAAACTATTTTGTTTCTAGCTTAAAGAAAGGAATGATAGAGTGATTTTAAATAAATGCTTGTCTTACTCATGTATGTAATCAAGCTATTGCTAGTTTTCAAAAGGCAAAATATGATAGTTTTCACATCATATTCTTGTTCAACATTTTCTGATTGTTCTTAGACTGCAGAGTTAAAGCACAATATTTAGTTAGGAAGACAGTAACTGTCAGTTTGAATTATTCACAAGAATGTAAAGTAACATATTGCAGGAGTTTATTTTGTCTTTAGGAGACCAGGAAAACATATATAGGTGCTATTCTATAATTCAAGTCTCCCTAAAGAGTTTAGATTTTCCCCTTTTTTCTCTTCAAATGTTGTATATAATCATGTCCTAAGCTGCTTCAGAAAAAAAAATTAATTCCTGAGTGCAAAGAGATTTTTCTGAAGTGCAAAATACAGAATGCATGATGATAAACTGCAGGATTTTATTTTGGTCTTTAGTAAATACTATATGAGCACTATAGATAAATATATAGATAAAGCTAACAAGCCACTCAGGAGGAATTTACCAAATAAGTCTACCAGTTATGTTTTGCTATATGTCACTCTAAATGATGGCCTGTTACCCATTTGCCTTTTATCTTTCTATCTAGAATATGTGTGGCCCAATAAAAAAGAATAAATTTGTAAGATAAACAGCTCGCTTTGCAGATTTAAGAGTCTAATTTTCACTTTACACAAAATTGAATTTTTTCAAGGCAGCGAGACGATGGAGTTTACTCTAGCACTAATCCCTCTGAAAAAGCAAACTGAAAACAACAATGAAGCAAAGAAAGATGTGGGTGGTCTGAAGAGCTTTCTTTTAGATGTAAGTAGACATACAGTAGATAGCTCCAAAGGCTTCGCTGCAACAGGGGCCTTACCTTGAAGAATTTTTCTTCCCACAGTGCAAGCATTCCTAAGACTTTAAAGCTGGGCTAAGGGGTTTTCTTTTGAATTCCTTTGCCTACAAAGGCTACTGAAACTGGAGGCCATCACTACCTGAATGAGCAGCTTTACATCTAAGTTCTTTTATTTCCAACAACAAAAATGTATGTTCAAGGCTGCCGACTCTCCCCATCAAATACTACCCTAACTTCTTACTAGGGCCCCATTCTGGCAAATTATACCGATTTGTCAAGGCACTTAAGTTTAAAATGTGCTTAACTTTAAAATGCATTTAAGTCTCACTGTCTCTGATACTGAGGGTTTTTTTTATACCAAGTCTCTTAAAGCAATCTATGGAAAGTTGAAGTAGGAAAAATTGACACAGAAAAAGGAAAAGAAGTCAGCAAGGAAACAAGTAAGCAGCAAACTGGTGAGCACAGATTATGCCAATAACAGTGTATGTGGGGAATGAAAACTCTTCAGCTATACCAATAATTGTATATTCTACACCTCTCATGTCCCCTTGCTCCTGCTGTTAAGACCCCCTTCCTAAGTAGAAACTCTCAGTTCTGTTACAGTGTTCAAAACTGTAGTAATGTTCTGGAGACATACAGAACTAGGATCAGACCCAGGCAATTTATTTAATTTATTATTTACTCTGGATTTGAGCTATGGTTTTTGGGCTGCTCAATTCCGAGGATGGAAGATCAGGAAGGAAAGAGAACAGTTACTTATCTTACAGCCATTGTGGTTCACTGAGTTTTGTGGTCTGCATGATGCATACTCGGTGCACGTGAGATTAAACTGCTTTTTTTGCCATCCACTTCAATTATAGGCAGGTCTACGTCCTGAACATCTTCCTGCCCATCCCTACCTTTCCTGATTTGAGTGCAGGAAATAACTGAACAGAGTATAAAATACTTCACAGATGCACATGGTAGGTGTAAGCTTCTGAGCCTTGTCTCTGAACGTACTTTTGCTGAGCTTTCCTTTCACTTTGAAAGCATCTGTTCACAGCAAAAGTCACAGACAGAAGTGCAAAAAGCAACATTCAGTTCTACATATGAAACCAGTCTTTGTGTCAGTGTAAGGGGAAGGCAACAGCTGTGAGACCTCCATCTGCTCTGTGCGCTGTACCTGCTGGGCAGGCAGATCCTGCTCTGTGGCACAGGACACAGAGGAATTCAGCCATGAAGCAGCTTCTGGGGTGGTATGACAGGAACATCTCTTGTGTACCATGCCTCAGCTACACTTAGTAACTGCCTGTGGACATACTCTCATGAGACAAATACAAGGAAAGAAAGTTCACTTTGACATCTGCATCAGAAGGTGGCAACTAGACAGACAAAGAGCCAATTTGGTCAAAATATGAGCAAATCTATTTGCCACACAGACTGAAATTAAAATTAAGCTACCCATAATCCACATTAGGTATCAGACATGATCTACCCAGATATAAGCCACTGCCACAGCTGGCAATGCTCTCAGTGCATTGGTAGAGATGCTAGAGGCACTATGCCAACCTCAATGGATATTTCTAGAAAAGAAAACTTAGGTGGATAGTGAATCTGTGTACTCAAAGCAGAAGCTATCTAGCCAGTCATATGAAGAGTAAAAGAAAAAAACTTATCGGGAATTTCTACATATGTTCTGTACAACTGGTCTACTTGTCCAGGATGAGTCTATACAAATTACTATAAAAAGATTGTTTTGGTTTTTTTGTTTTGGTTTTTTTGTTGGTTTTTTTTTTTGGTTTTTTTTTTTTAAATAAACTTGTTCTCGGTTAGGTAGCAGCACTTAAGCCAAGGTTTTCATATCTTTCTGAAATTAAAAATATTGGTAGTTCTTTAGAACTGTCTGTTAGTGAAACATGGTGCAACAAGAAGTGGTAGTGACCACTCAGATAACCCATCTTGTGGCAGGAAATAGTATATCCTCAATCTAATATCAAGAGGGAGTTACAAGATATTCAGTGTGTTAATCCTGTCACTGCTGCCACCTTTATGCAAGTACACGTGAACTCAACTATTTCATTCTCTGGGAAAAAGTATAGGATGTACTAAGTCTCTGGGAAAACCTTACCTTTCTTGCCTGTTCCTTAAGAGAAAGCTTTAATAGTACTGAAAATAGGGGGAAATAGGAATCTAATCAGGGATCTAATTACCCATATTTTTCTTGCTACATGAAGTAGCTTCAATTAGTATGCTTTGATGTAAATGAGAACAGAATACAGCCCACTGCTTGTAATTTGAAATTAGAATCCTATTAGCAGATGTCACAACACTTTTTTGCTTGTTAAATTCATGGCTTAAAATGAAGGAGTCCAATACTACTAAATATTACAGATATATTTTAGGCCTCCGGAAAGAGTTACTAATGTCTTAGGTCAGGAACAACTTGCTGTCTCTATTGTTTCATCAAGGATTTAGGTTTTATAATGACCATATATGGGAATCTTAAACTGTCAGGCATTAATAAGGACTGGCAGAGAAGTTGTTTAAACAGAGAGCTATTTTAGAAGAGAATTGGAAAGGAGGCCTACTAGTGAGAAAGCCACATTCACATTGTTTGTATTATTAGAAATAAAGATTATACCAAAGGTTCCACTGGTAAATAAAAAGATACCACTTCTGACATCAGACTTCCCACTTAGTCCTCTGAACCACACAGGCAAACAGAAAGCACAAACTGTCCTGCCTCTGCTACTGATTAGTGCTTCAGCAGACTTAAATTTAAAATACAGTCTAAATGA